ATTCAGGTAAAACAAAATCAAGTGATTGTCATTTTCAGGGCCTACATCAACCCAGAAGTATACCTGATTGATTAAACCAGCTACGTTGAAAAACACAGGTACTGGAACATTACGGACAAGTACAACTAATAGTGGCCACAACCATGGAGGGGGGATCAGTTATTACATCTCTTTTTCTTCAAAGTGGACACCTCCTGCTAATGAGAATTTGTCATACTACAAAGAAAAAGAAAATTAACTCTTCCCTTCTCCTCTACCTCCACAGGGACTGAGTTTCTCAGTGTGGCTGACTGAGTTTCTCAGTGTGGCTTACTGAGCCGTCCTTTCTCAATATTCTGGAGCCACCTGTATTTATTTGAGGTGGGGACCATCTCTTATACAGTTGGTAAGTGTGGTGCCTAGTAAATTATTTATCTCCTTTCTAGTCCTTGGTGCTTAACTGGTTTTCACATTTTCCACTATACAAAACCCAGCTGTCCTTGATTCTGAATCATGGCAACCCTATGTGTGTTAGAATAGAACTACTCCATAAGATTGTCAAGGACTTGTTTTGGGGAAGTACATTGCCAGGCCTTTCTTATGAGACACCACTAGGTAGACTTGAACCATGAACTTTTTAGTTAGCAGCTAGTTATGAGGAGTAACAAAAAGAAAGAAAAATGAAACCCAGGAGAAAAGCTCCACTGGGCAGAGCTTTTGTAGTATGCATTTTTCCCACTATACAAGCATCAAACCATTTGCTCAATGCACCCAGTGGCATTGCCTGGGAAGGTTCTCTATGGTCACAGTGAATTTTTTCATAAAAGCAGTTTCATTCAAACCTCATTTTTTGTTATAGCCAATTTAAGAGAACAGTGTGCTGGCTGTGAAATTTTATTTCCTGCTTGGGAAAAATGGTGCAGAAACTGTTGTGATGTTGAACACGGCTTACAAGGACAGCGCTATGGGAAATACTCAAGTGTACGAGTGGTTTTCTCATTTCTAAAAAGGTGACATGCCAATTGATGACAAACTTTATTCTGAATGTCCATCAACTTCTGAATGGATGAAAATGTTGATTAAATTTGTGCACTTGTGCCCAAAGACCGATGACAGACCATTGAAGAGATGGGG